GGGGGCGCGCGGCTCTTGTGCCGCGCGAAGCGTGTTGTCTCAGCAGCCCAGGGCGCCGGAGAGGGAGCGGCCCTGGCCTCGGGGCCACGGCCCTTGCTTCCTTTTCGTTGTCGCGAAACGCCGTGCGCCCCGAGACCGGGGCGATGGGTGCCAACGAGGACCAGGAGGTGAGTCCGGGCTGGACGCCCCCTCCCCGCGCAGGCGCGGTGCCCCTCTCCGCCCGCTCGTGCCACTCGCCCCCAAGGCGGCAGTCTGGTTGGAGCAGCCCCAAGTTTGCCGGCGTCCTGCGGGGAGGGGCCCCGGCACGCCTGCCGGGATGGGTGGTCCGCCTCTGCTTTTTCTCCACCACCACCCCTACCCGCCCCGCAGTTTTGGATTTTTGTAAAGCCGGGGATCCGCCCCACACCCCCAGGTCTCTTGATAATAAGGGCAAGTGTCCTTGGCCCGCAAGCCGGTGCACTTGGTTGGCCTTAAACCCCGGAGTTGTTGTTTAGCGCCCGCGTTCGGAGTTAGGCTCCTTGGAGTCCCGTCTCCTTTACATCTTAGAATCTGTTGTTGGCCGGCAGAGAAAGTTAATTGAGTTAGTTAGATTTCTGGTGCAAGGAAGTAATGACCGTAGTGTCTTCTGGCCATATGGCTTCGTGGAAGGAATCATTTATCCACCTGATGTTTTCCAGTAGATACGAAGTCTGTTCTGAGCATCCATGTACTAGGAGAGTTGTATGGTTTACACTTAGGTATTTTCTCATGAAATGCCACTTTGACATTGAATCATATGACATGAGTCGGAAGGGATGCTCCAGGTCATCTCTAGAGGGAGCTTCTAAATGTGTAATGTGTACAGATAAGAAGAACAGTCTGCAAACATAAAATGACAGTCCCAGGGCTGCACAGTGAGTTTGTGGTAAAATCGGGTCTAGAATCCCAGTCTCCTAGATAAATAATCCCAATCTCACTCTTCATTTAGAATATACTGCTTGAAAGTTAGCACTTTTATCAGTACATGATAGAAGTAATGGAATCTCGGGGTTGGAAGTTACCTTTAAAGAAGGCCCACAAGCCATGATGTCCAAATGCTTCTAAAATAACTCTTGCCAGATTAGTTTCTAAGCTAAGGCTTGAACAGTTCTAACTGTGAAGCTGCAGTGTACAGTGTAATGTTTCTCTCAGTTTGGCCCAGAGACCCCCACCTAGAACCATTTGGGCAATTGTTAGTAAAACTGATGCCTGCTCTCTGTCTCATATACACTGAATCAAAATTCCTGTGGTGAGAACCAGATCTCCATTTAACAATAAAATGCGATTCTTCTTTCATAGGACCGATCTTCAGATGTTTGAAGATCATTTTCCTGCCCAGTTTTTCAGACCTCCTCTTCTCACACTGGTTCCTTTTAGCTTTTCTCCATTTGTTCATTCTTATTAGCTCCGTTAGTCTTCTAGAATTGTGTGTCTGTGGACATATGATAAGTTTATGTTCTATTTCTAATCCATTTGTACAATTAAACAAAACCCTTTTAATTCATTTCTTTCAGATGGAACTGGAGGCATTACGCTCTATTTATGAAGGAGATGAAAGTTTCCGGGAATTAAGTCCAGTTTCATTTCAATACAGGGTAAGACCTGACATGAATAGGAGCACTTACTACTTTGTTGGGAAGCTGTTTTTTAAAATGCTGTTGGTTTTTTTTTTTTTTTATTTAGTGGCTTACATTTACCATGTCTTTGGATTTGCTGACACATTTAAATGAAAATGAAAACTCATCACCATGACATCAATTATTTTCAAACTTTGAAAACTTAATTCAGAAGCTTTTTCAAACTAAGATAAACGTGTGTTTATTGTAACAGAAATATAAAACATTAGAAATGGAAGAAACATTAGAAATTGGGGTTTTTACCTTCTAATCTTAAAGATAGCATCTCAGCCCTGGCTTCCCAAGTTTCCACAGTGATAAATGTTAGGGTTAAAATCCAGGTCTCTAGGCCACGCCTAGTTTTCTTCTTACTGCTTTACAACTTAGTCAAGAAAAGTTGATATTTTTGTAGTTCTATATTGTCAACATATCTGAATATCTCTTACATATGTGAAATGTCAATTTTTCTTTAAAATTCAGGTTGCTTATAATTCTTTTTCAGCATGGAACAGCACCAGTATTTGATTTCGTAAACAAATAATATAAACCATTTATCCAAACTGTTAAGTAGTGGCGGGTGGTCAGGGAAGGTTTTTTTAATAATAGCCTTAAAGGTTTATGGTTGTTGATATTGTCATCATTTAAAAGAAATTGAGAAATGATCCTTATACATGATTGTTACCGACCTCACAAGAAATAAATCCTTTATAGTTATTTCCTTCAGAAACTCCCCTCTCTGCTCAGTGCCTCTCAATTCCCTTTCAAGCTCCACAGTCCTCATACCAGCCCACATGAAGAACAGCAGAGACTTCGTGGCTAAAGGTAACAGTGAAGTTAAGCACTAGGCCCTTCTCTTTGCATCCAGTCGCCTCCCCAGACTTCCCCATCCATGGCCCCTCCAACCCTAGCGAATGGAAGGGCACCCCGTCCTCCCCCAGCGTCTGCGCTGACACCAGCAGTTACTCACTGAGGATGTTGCAGGATACGTGGGGGTCCTGTCGGGTAGACACTGATGGATTTATACGCAGTGAAGCGTGCATGAGTGTTCATTGTTTTATTCCAGCTTTTCTGTAAAAGCTTTCAAAGTGAAAAGCTGGGGAAAGCAAAAGAAAAAAGATATCTGTAACCAACTCAGGGCAAATAGGCTGTCAAAAGATATAAACTTCCAATCATAAGTCCTGGGGATATTGCATACAGCATGGCGACCGCAGTTGATAATACCCTATTGTGTAGTTGAAAGTTGCTAGGAGAGTAGATCATTAAAGTTCTCATCATAACAACAAAAGAAACCTGTAAATGTGTGTGTGGATATGGTGATCATTTTACAGTGTATACAAATGTCAAACCATTATGTCGTGCACCTGAAACTAACATAATCTATGTCAATTACACCTCAAAAATAGAATAAATAAAAAAAGAAAAACTTATTTAAGAGTTGTCCTCCAGGCTAAGGCACTCCTTCCTTATCTCTCTGCCCTTTCTTTATTTCTCTGAATTTTACATTTCATTTTCTAGCTTCTTGGGATTGTGCTAATGCCTATCTGTTTACATGTTCTTAATGTCTATTATGATTTAGCAATTGGAAAACTGAAGGGAAAGATGAGGTATTTCAAGTGTGTCGATTTTATTTTATCTATTCTCTTCCTGTTCTCCATGGTTGTTCTCTTACCTTTGTCCTCAGAAATCTTTGATGGTATAAAAACTGTACGTATAAGACATATGGTTTTTCCTGGGAAAGACTGGAGGCAGGCCATGGACATCAACAAAAGCTGTTAAAACAGCCTCAGAGTGGGTTAAAAGTCACACATGTTTACACTGCCCTCACCCTCGGCAAGATCTTAGCTCGTCCCCTTGAACTTTTCAAAATAATGACATTTCCTATCTGATCACGAGCTTTGGAAAGGGGTCATCATTCTAACGAACATCATTTATTAGTCTTTGTAGAACTTTTTACAAGTCTAAGATTCCCCTTTTCTTCAGATAGGTGAAAATGGAGATCCCAAAGCCTTCCTCATAGAGATTTCCTGGACAGAAACCTATCCGCAGACACCTCCCATCATATCCATGAATGCCTTTTTTAACAACACCATGTGAGTACTGTTTTGTTGTCATTTCAGTCATGGTAACTCCCTCTTTGCTCTTCTCTTAGCGGTGTATTTCTGTGCATTGCAGATCATCAGACGTAAAACAGAGCATACTAGCCAAGTTACAGGAGGCGGTGGAAGTCCACCTCGGGACGGCCATGACCTACACGCTGTTTGAGTACGCCAAGGACCATAAGGACCAGTTCATGGAGAACCATCATCCCGTTCATTCTGCTGTGAGCAGGGGGTTTGGCTTTTGCCACGTTTTGTTTGTTTTGGTTTTATTCTACTAGTGATTCATTTTTACTAGTTAGTTAGTTATTTTTTTAATTGGAAGGAGACTTTGTTTGTGATGGGTTTTATTTATTTGGCTGTGCTGGGCCTTCCTTGCTACACAGGCTGTTCCCTGGTTGCGGTGCACGGGCTTCTCATCGTGGCGGCTTCTGTTCTTGCGGAGCTCGGGCTCTCCGACCTCTGCACGTCGGTAGTTGCAGCTCCAGGGCTCTAGAGCAGAGCTCAGTAGTTGTGGTCCACGGGCTTAGCTGCTGCTCCACTGGTGGGATCGTCCCAGATCAGGGGTCAAACCGGTGTCTCCTGCATTGGCAGGCGGATTATTTAACCACTGAGCCACTACGAGAGCCTGGAAGGAGACTTTGTATTAGATGCACAATGATAGTTAGAGCTGGACCCTGAGAGGCAGCTAGAGAAGCAGAGAAGGGCGGTGCCTCCCGCCCTGGGAGCGCGACCGCGTGGCCCTGAAAATGCACTCTTTGCTGCGTGACTCTAGGTAGGTTTCTCAGTCTTGCTGTGCTCAGCTTTGTCATCTGTAAAATAGGTGCTATAATAGCAGTTACCTCATAAGATTGTACTCAGAATCAAATGAGTGATAATATGCACAACGTTTACAGCAATGCTTGGCACCTGGTAAGCATTTCCAGTTTTGTCTGTCTCAAATATTTAAAAATTTTCCTTCATTTTCTCTGGGAACCAGAAGGGTCTAAGTAGGCACACGTGATTTTTCTAAAGACATATTTAAGCTTTCGAATAAAAGCACATTAACTGAGTTGTAAAATTACCTCTGCACTTCAGAGCTTTAGGATAATCCTGGTATCAGATCTTCTTTCTCAAGGAACTGGTGATAACAGTGTAACAATATTATGTTCTTCAGTGTGAACTTTTAGGAGAGTAAAACCAGTTGTGTGCTGAGCTTCCTGACCTGATTATTGAATATAATAATGAAGGATTCTTTTACCTCACAAACCTAAAATTGTCAGTTCATTTCAGGATGTGGACATATTTAGTGTAATTCAGTAAGCTTTAGCAAGAGTCTAAGAATTATTTCTTTTTTTCTAGACATCCATAAGCAACATCATCTCAGTTGAAACTCCTAGCACAGCCCCGTCAAGTAAGAAAAAAGATAAAAAGGAACAACTTTCAAAAGCCCAGAAACGTAAACTGGCAGATAAAACAGGTTTGTGTTATTTTTTTTCTTTTATGACACATTTGACTGCTTGTTGATGTGATACGGGTGCCTAGTAAGTATTATTTAGATTTGGAAGATTGGTTCTCTGCACTCTTTATTCTTGAACCATTTCGATCAGAGACAATTTTAGGTCACAAATGTGTATTGAAACTACTTACTACTACTTTACCACAAGAGAGAAGCATTTAAGAAGGTGAAGTGACAAAGTATACATGAGTCTGAATACTGTAGAATATTAGAAGAGTGAACAAATATGTGTCCTACTGGGACCCTCTCTGGCATGTCTGGGATTTTCCTGTTTGTTTACCTTTATGACAGATAAGTATATTGTTGACATTTTTTTTTGAAACACAGCTTTGATTTGAAATGAAGTCTGGTCTACCATCAGATCATAACACAATAAATAATGTTTTTTTCTGTAGTTGATCTATTTATATAACTCACAAAACAGCATACCGACCCAACTTATTTCATTAAGCAGGGACCTTGTATAAAGCAGGGAAGTTGTACACGGGCATCAAACTAATAAATTAATTAGCTTCTCTTCCTGGCATTACCAGCTCACCTCCGTCTTTTTCCATGATGTCAGGTTTTGTCTTGAATTGGACGAGGATAAATAAGAAAGGCAGTACATCTAAAACCTTGCAAGTATTCCCGGGGGAACCGTGCTTTCAGTGCAGAATGATGATAAGCTCTTTTTCCGCCTTAATAATAAATTATTTAAATTTTTAATCCATTTGTGGTATAGAATAGTATAGAAAAATCTTATTTAAATTTAAATATTCTGATTGATCTTAGCAATAAAGTTACTGTTTTTATGGTCTAGATCACAAAGGAGAACTTCCTCGAGGATGGAACTGGGTTGATGTGGTGAAGGTATGTAACGTTTGTTCTTGTCTTCAAAAGACGGTTACAGTTACTGCTGTCGATTAATGAAATTTATGTCTTCCATTTTCTCCCCCATCAATCTTTGCATTGGACTGGGATGTCTGTGTTTCCTTTTTCACATTCAGCATGTAAGTATTTTTGAAATATCCTTCACATTTTTCTCTTCCCTGGCCCCTCAGTTTTAGGATTTCTTTTTTTAAATAGTGGAAAATCTATAGAAGTAAGTTATAACTACAATAAAATGTGACTGTTAATGTAAGACATGACTCTAAATTATAGATAATATGGAATTTGATGGTACAAGTCATGTAAAGGATTGCTTTGATTTCTTAGTGGAGTTGAAGTACTTTTTTTAGGACAGACCCCTAAATCTGGTTGCCCACCATCCTCAAGGAAAGTTTTTTGTTTCTGTTGTGCAGAATTGTTTACTTTCCACTTGGAATTTTCGGCCCACTTCTCTCAGTATTTGTCTTGCATTCCTCGTCAACAGATCCTAACACAGCCAGTTAATGCCCTGTCTGGGAATTTGTGAAATGAGTTTTCATGCCAATTAGTGTCCCTGTGCCATGTGAAGTAATTCCTGTGATGCAAAGTTAGGATCTATGAGGACCCACAAATATGGGTAATTTAAAAGCAGTGTTTTCTGAGTTTATTTTGAAGCCAGCTGTTTGGGCCTTTTCTGTAGAAACTATTTGAATCAATTTATGTGGTTCTAAAACCTAGTACACAATCATCTGAGACTGAGGAGCCATGAGCTGCAATTGGAATAAAGAAACTCAGTATAGACAGACCTCGTTTTCCCGCAGTTCACTTTGCTTCATTGATACCATTTTGTACAAATTGAAGGTTTGTGGCAACCTTGCATTGTCAAATGAGGATTTGTATTTTTTAGCAATGAAGTATTTTTTTGATAAAGGCATGTGCATTGTTCTTATACACATAATGCAACAGTATAGTGTAAATCTAACTTATATTCACTGGGAAGCCAGAATATTTGTGTGATTTGATTTATTGTGATGTTTGCTTTACCGTGGTGGTCTAAAACGCAACCCACAAGATTTGAGTTTGACCTTTATTTCTTATCGTCTTCTTGGGCAAGAGGCTGACCCTGCAATTCAAGAGTTGTATCATTTTCAAAATTGTAAGAATTGCCTGGGTAAGGTGATAAATCTTACCATTTTTTCTTACCACAGTTTAAAAATTTTAGAATTTATTGTTTGTAAAAGAAAACCAAGAATATCATTCATTTTATAAATTGGCACCTTTTGTATACTCTTGTTTCCAATTTATATCTTGGAAAGCTTCAAGGAACTTTTTTTACTTTTTCTGTTGAGGTTATGTTATCAAAGAATCCTGTTTAGAGTAGCTGAGCCTGAAGTTAAAAATATTAGTATTTCCACGTGGTGAAATCTTTAGGTGATACAAGTTACCTGAACCCTGTTGCCTGTTCTGTTAACTATAAATGTTGACTTTTGATTTTAAGTGGAAAAAGTGAACTCAGATAAGACGATAGCTTAAACTTGTTGAATGTTTGTTTTCATCTTTTTTTGTAGTTGAGCAAAACTGGCTCTAAAGACGATGAATAGCCCTTGGAATCTGAGACGAGGGAAGAGCATCCTTTAATAAGTAAACGGGGTTCAAAATCTTTCATTACTCTTTTCTGGTATTGAGGTGGCTTTTTATAAAACAATTGTTTTGTATGTTTCTTACGTAAAAAAAATGTTTCAAGTTGAAAAAGGAATCTGGTTGTATTAAATTATTTTCACAAACTTGCCTTAATAAAAGGTGAAATGTTACTGTTTAGTATAATACTTTATTGAACCAGTTATAAACGGAGAAATGTGAGGAATTATAATCAATGTCAATTTATGTGATCTTATTCTGGTGGATATGATATTTTTTAAAGGAGTTTTAAGCTCTTTTCAGATTCTTATCCCATTGGAGAATATGAATGAACAATATGTTCACAGTATGATCCGTATTAATAGGCTTCTCGTCTTTAAGTCTTTGTTCCTTCTTTCTTTTAATTACTGAAGCATAAATTGCTTCAGAGAGATTTAAATACTAGTATTTTAACTTTATATGTAATATTCTTTCTAGGTCCTTTTTATTTTTCAAGGGTGAACTGCTTTTTAAGAAATATATATCTGTTAATACTTTTGATTTGGGTAATGATGTTTGATCCTGAGAGCTTTCAATGATATGTGGAATCAGAAAGGAAAAAAAAAAAAAAGATCTGCCAAATACTTTAGAAAATATTTGAATAAAAGTGCTTGTTCCCATTTAAACCATTTCTCTTTGCTGCATATACCTAGATGGGAGTAAAAGATGCCTTAATATTTAATTTTTGTATTGTTAAAGGCAGTGGTTTTAATAAATTCCTATTTATCCATTGTGTATTTTTAGTTGCTTGGTAACTGAGTTCTTCTAAGTGGTTTCACATAAAACTACATTTTAAGCCATGTGCATTTTCCAGTACCCAAATGTATGTCTCAGCCCAGGCATCCGTGTACAAATAGACATAGAAGTCTTTCAAATGCTGAACTGTAGTACTTGCTAGATTTTTTTTTTAGTCATTAATAGAGGAAACTATTAGTGCAGTTTTAGCAGGAAGTTACTGACATGTATGTGAGATAGTATATGCTCCCCAGCTTCAAAAATACTTAGACTACTGCCGTGGTTTCTGGAAAGGTCAGCTGTTGGTCCCTCAAGTTA